TCCTCAGCACTCCTGCCCCTGCAGGAATTGTAGCCTGGCCCCAGACCAAGCTCAGCTCTTGCCCCTGCATAGCAATAGTTCCCACTGCAGGCCTGCAGCTCTGTGAGCCACTACTTTATACAGCATCCAGAGTCCAAGCGCTCCTGTGCAAAGTAGTAACTCCCAAACCTGGGAGCCTGTATGTCACCCGGAAACAAGATACATCTTATCAGCTGCTCCTGTGGAGACAAAGGCTCCCAGCTCCTTTAGGCTGCATACAGAAGCAGTCTTCTCCAAAGCAACAACTCACTGACTGCATTGCAGGGAGTTTGTGAGAGCGAACAACAGTGTTTGTAATGACATGGTGGTATGAAGGGAGAAAAAAAGACACATCCAACGGAAAATTGACACTTGGGTGGATAGGAGCAGGAGTCCTGTGTTCCTTCAGGGACACAACTATGAGACCTTTTCAGTTATCAGCCTTCTGAAGTTCTGTTTGATTCTGATACTTAGGCGCAATCTGGTAAACAGAGAGCTTGGGAGCTCTGACATTTTGCAGGAAAGCAGCACAGCAACCAGTGAAATAGCGGGAGAACTAATTCCACGTTAGCACCAAGTGGGTAAAATGACTCACTGAGGAACAGAATCCAGGACCAGCTCCCAGACACTCGTGTAATGGGTACAAAGTAACTGCAGAATTGGAGAACCATTTAGATGTAATTCAGATGGTAAATCCAGATTACTAATTTAATATGCAAGACAGAGGAGCATCATTTGTAGTGCAGTAGCCAAGGAATTATATTCATCATTTTTGCAGAGTATTAGTAATAATTATTTCAGAGACTTTTTACTGGCAGAACTATGTGGATACTTCAAATTTTCCAGTGATTCATGTATCACCGAAAGAATAGTTTCTCCAAGAGTTGTGAGGAACAGTTCAGTTTTTCAGACTTTTCTAAATGGCAGAGTGATAGCTCTTTTCAATATGCTGTAAATATTTTTTAAAAATACAGACATCGTATGTTTGTTGGATTTTCTCCAGGGTTAAGTTCCATCTTCTCTATGACTTCGCAGATAATCATCCAGCATCAAAACCTGCTCATTTCCAAAGCCAACAACACCATCAACTACACACTGCTGAGTAATGACAATGCCTTCTTGAGCTACTACCCCCATTACTTCACACAGCGGACTCTGACAGCACGTTTTCAGATGAACAATACAAGGCCACCTCATGTCCAGATGGTGCGGAAACCAGTGCTGACTGTCATGGGCTTGCTGGCACTGCTAGGTATAGTAACCACTGATTAAAGAGCACATCGATAATCTCTTCTACCTAGAAGCTTCTTACCTAAGAGAGATTATTCCAGCCATCTCACCACTGATAAAAGCAAGATTTCTTTTACCCTCTGTTTACCAGCTGTGTTAAGAAAATGAAACTTCATTTCCTCTGAGAAATTAATAGCTCAGGATATGCTCCTGACAGTCTGTTATCCATTTGATTTAATTTACTGCTTTGTTTATAACCTCTGTATGCCAACCACTCCTTTTTTGTTGACTGGTACTTCCCTCATGTGCCATCACATCAGGCTGCAAATGTCTTCAAGAAATCCCCACAGCTGGAAGACCTATGCAGCATACTAAAGGGAGATCTTAATTCACTGTTACATGCTGAGATGTTGCTAGCTGAACTGCTACGCATAAGAACTGCTGTAATATGTGCATGCTCTGCTGTTGTAGAATAAGCCTGACTGAATGCTGTACCTGGTAAAATAAGCTAGAACATAGCTCAACCTATAGATTCCCATGTTTTGACCCTTCCTGTATCAGAAACTGATACAAGACTGACTAGCAGTGATGCTTACAGAGTTGTCACATTTTTTAAAGGAGAAAAGCAGATTTTTGCAGAAGTGAACAGCAGTGAAGGCGAAAGCACTCAAAACAGCACAATTGGTGTCCTGGCATCTGTGCACACCCCGAGTGAGATGCAACCCTCAGACAGTTGGCAAGCTACTCTACTGATGTATTCAAGTGAGGATAACAGGACTTCATCCAACATCAGCACTGTTACAGTGAACGCCACCCACTTCCCCAAACTTAGAGGTAAACAAAAATCATATAGGCAGCTCACATAATTGTTCTTTAGGCTAGAACATCTGCTGAAACGCTTCTGCTGTGTTGCCTTTCATTGCCAGAGTTTCATTTGCTAACTTTCATCTTTTGGGCACTCCCAGATTTTCTGACATATGATAGTGCTCTTCTAGGAAAGGCTCTTTCCTAATGCCTGCACTTTGACCCTGCCTTTAATGGCAGCTGCAAGTGCTACCTTTTTGGAAAGCTGTTAATCTCAGTGTCCTTGGCTGAATATTGCCAGGCAACAATTCCCTTACTGGGATGACTCCAAGACAGCCAACATGACCACATGATTACACAGTTGATGCAGTTGTCCAACAAATGTGCAGCACCTGTGCAAAAAATAAGAGGGTTTCAATTCTGATTATGGAAGTAATAGCTCGAAATTTGAACTTGGCAAATATAAATTGTAGAGCCTTGTAAAAGTGCTACCCTTGTGACTTTCCAGTAGAAGCCAGACTCCGAAGTGCTGAAATCACTTTTGAGAAGATAGACTTAAACACCTTCTGCTAAATTTATTCTTGTTAATCTTTAAATACAACTAAAGAGTTTACTCTCTTTTATTTGTGTTCCTAAAGAGCTGGTGTATGTGACATATTACCTGGATAACAACCAAACCAATCCCTACCTGAAGTGGAAAAGGCTAGGAAGCCCTGACTTTCCTTCCCCAGAACAGTTCCAGCAAATAAGGGATGCTGAGGTATGACCATGTGTTTACTTGAAGTGTTGTATGGGTAAAGTGCTTGTCAACTGGTTAACTACAGCTAAAGAAATCAGCTCAGGTAGTAAAAATTTCCTTAGCCCACAGTCATGTGCATCTTGTATACATACGAAAATGCACTTGCAGTCACGCAGAGAAATGTAGCTGATACACAACTGATACCTTTGCATTTACATTATACAAGAGACTAAATGTAGATGACCAACTTCATTGCTACTGGCCTAACCTTAAACTAAGGAGGCAGAGTTGCTCCAGAGCAAGTTCCATCTTCTCTCTGAAACTTCAATGGGCTTTGAAACCCGTTCTGTTTTGTCTCCCCAGAGAAGTCACATGTGTATATTACAGAAGGGCCAAATTGCTGCATTAGAGAGTTGAAATGAACCCCCCTCAGTAACAGAAAACAACCAGCTCCCTGAGGTGGAAACTACCAGTGCAAGTTTAGAAGACACTTGGCATCTCTCAGGGGCTCACAGAGAGGCCTGCAGTTTCCCCTCATCCTCACCAGTTCTGCGTACACCCTAGAGGGGACTGAGGGGTAGGTCTTCTCTGAGGACTCCTCTACTCCCTACTGAGAAAAGCCATGCCCAGATTACTTACTGTATGTGAGAATATGTGAGCAGCCTGTCACTTTAGCTCCCTCTCCCATAGTCTCCCTATGCATTCAGACCCACGGGTTAAAATAATGAAGGCCATCTTTGTCCCCTCCGCAGCCACAGACAGTAATTGCCTTCTGACTTTGGTGTACAGTACTATGTCTTCCCTTCCCAGTCACCATAACCCACTATTGCTAAGGTCTGTGGGATACTACAGGAGCCATCAGATCTTCCTTCAATAGGGCAGCAGCAAGGTTTTAGATACTCTTGGCCATCTGGTGAAACCTCATCCTCAGAGACCAGCTGAGTGGCTGTTGTAGCTAGCAATAGCTTTCACTGCACACTGGAATCCATAGCTGAGAGACGGGCGTGGGTTTTAAAGACACTAGCCTGAAAGGCACGCATGGGAGGTTACTAGAATTGAGAGATTGCGCCTAAAGGACATTTGTGATTAACCCAGTTTGTGAGATGGACAAACCTTCTGTTTCCTGAAGGGCTGGAAAACAGGTGAGATGATAGAAAAGTCTCCCAGCTTGAAGAGCTTTGATGGCTGTAAGCCACTTATCAGCACCAACTCTATTGGAAATTTATAGTCCCAAAGTAAATACACAGTCATGTGTTACATCATACACTGATGTAACAGTTGGCCTTTAGGTACTGTAATGAAAGATTACTCACAACACTTCTCTCTGGCTCCACAGGACCCAGTGGCAACAGGCCCATTCCCATTTCCTGAAGGTGGCATCCTGACGCTGAAGCAAGACTTTCCCGTTCCCTCAGTCTTTCTTATCCACATCTGTGCAAGACCCAAATCTGTTCCTGATCAAGTATGTGTTGTATTCTACTGTCAGACTCACCAAATTAGAAACTACTTCCTGCTTTAAGTCTCACTAAGAAGAGCTGGACTAGCATTTGGGCCTATTATTTGTTAAGACCATTCTTCTCTCCCTTAATGAGAAGGCTCTCCAAGGCATAATTCAAGATAAAGCATTCCACAGCAAGTGATAGGAGCCATCATTGAGATAAATGCAAGTTTATCCATGGTGGGAAAATAATGCAGCACTGGAAAGTGCAGTATCTTTTTTAAAATCACATCATGTGCTACCAGCCTTGACAACAGCTCTCCAGTTAATAATTGATAGCTAAAAATAAAATGGAATCGTGGCTGTTGTAGATTAGACATCTATATCTGCTCATTCAGTCCCACTCATGTTCATAGTCCCACCTTCATAGCCTCTGAAGGTCCTCTGCAAGGTTGACAGTTTGGAGACATAGGCTACAAAGCCACAGAGCCAGGAATTTTATTTTTTCCCCCAGTCTCAATGGAAAGAATCAAAGCAAATAATTAGCAAGGCAGAATGAACATGGAAATCTGACCTAGCTGATTGGTTTGTACAGTTTTCTTACATGGGCATGTGTCTTTGGACAGGTGACCGGTGTTCGTTTGATCCCTCTCACAAAGGGGCAGGTCATTGTGTTGTGGGACGATGGCTGTGTAAATTCAAAGTAAGTAGCTTTTAAAGTAAAATGGATATAACCAAGTTACCAGCACATTACTCCCTAAGTTGCCACCAGTCCTACAAAGTTAAACGAGTTCACAAAGTAATGACTACTTGCTCCTTGCGAGATGCTACAGTGCATTTGTCTGACAAAATGAACTGTAAGGACCTACATGCAGTAACTACGGAGAGCAACCCTGACTAATTTGCGGTCTGCGCAAAGGAATCTGCCTGTTGCACACCAGCATCTAATGGCATTTTTGAGGGACTTGCCTTCACCATAGCAGACAGCAAGATCCATGATAAAAGTTACATTAGCAGCAGGTGCCTAGGTGGGATCTTGCACATCCCTGTTAAGGGATGTGAGCTGGAAGAGGAAAACCTCCAGTTCCTTGCTCCAGCAAGCTGTACTAGTCTGGAAACCCTCTGTAGATGAACTGTTAGAGGCGATCAAGTATACATCCAGGCTCCCTCAGGAAGCACTGACTTAGCTCCTTTTCAAGCCAGTCTCCCTAGACTCTTCAGCCTTGATAACCCTGGGTTGGGGGTGAAAGGTGTGTAACAGTTTGTGATGCTGCAAGTACCCAATATAGCAAGTCAGTCTGGGCGTTCTCCTGTGGGCTGCTGGAGCCGTGGTTCTTCCTAATACTGACAATTCATGCCATCCCACATTTGGTAGGGGTGAGTCAACTGAATATTTCCTATTTTTGGCTGCCTTTGCTGAAATGGTCCTGAGATTAGGATTTGATTGCTCACCGCATTATCAGTTGTATTTACTGAGCTGTCTGCTTTTCTTTTCTAGATGTATAAAGACATTTGAAGTGGAGTTCTCACCAGATGGAAAAGCATACCAGCGGATTAATGCCAAAGACACAATATTCACTCTCTGGGTCTACAGTCCAGGTAAGACAAGAATATGCATATTATGTAATCTGTCATGTTAATAGTGCCACTCATGAGTGTGTGAAACATCATTTAGTAACTACAGAAGGTATGTAGCTTGCTAGTGACATAAACTCCCATCACAAATAAGACCACATCCCTTCCTTTAGGACTACGTTCTCAGTGAAAGCCTTATTCTCCAGGACAAGCACTAATTGACAAATAGTCATGAGGACATTATTAGGAGTATTGCCATGAGTACATTCCTTGTCACAGAAACCAAAGTCACCCACTTGTGGGCCTGGCAAGCTCCCGGAGAGGCAAAGCAGCACTTTTGTCTCTATTTGTAGCTGGTGTAGAAGCATGCAAAAATGAGAACAAAAAAATTGCTCCACATGACCAGAGCTTGGTGTTGTGCTTTTGGTAGTAGACTCACAGCAAGGCAAGTCGAGGTTTGGGCTCAGTTCCACGGGTATTGGCCATGACTTTGCGTAAATTTGTACAATGCTCTTGGGGTAGGGCAGTAGGAGCAAACTGCCTTGGTAACACTTGTTTTGTACCACTGAGTCTTGAGGTGTTAGACTGCCTAAGGATTTGGCATAAACACACAAATAAGTGAGAGGTCACGTCCGCCTTTCATGGAGCAGTTGGTTGTCTTGCATTTATCATGTTCTGAGGTGCTCCAGGGGAAGGTCACAATTCTGCTCTCATCGTGATTACCTGTCACTGTTCACATACCCTTTTATGGCTTGGCAATCTTAAGCTATTGAGGTGCTCCCTTGTAAAAACAAAAGAGGTTCTCCTGTAGGACAGTTTGTCCTAGCTATCTGAACACCTAGCCAAGGAGAGACCCCTCTCTTTGCTGTTTCCTAGAGCTTTCTCTTCAGTCCTGACTAGCTGCCTAACTTTTAGATGTTTCACATTAGAGGGCAGCGAGTTTCATCTTTGTCAACAGGCAAAGCTTCTCCCAGACCTGTAGTCATTTCTCCTCAAGTACAGCCTAGATGCAGTAGAAACATACCCAGATGAAAAACGCTGAAAGAAGGCAGTGATGTTTTCTTTGGGTATTTTTTTGTTGGTTTTTTTGGCTTTTTTAACCAAATGTGGTCTAATCCGCAATGTGACTGTCCAAAAAGTATTACTAATAAGCACTGATCAGAGCTATGTGAAACACAGACAGACCTTGCCTCAGAGTGATACTAATAAAGAGCAATTCAGAGAGGTTTTTGCCAGAAACATAAGCTCATCTTAGCCTGAGAAAGGCTTAGCATCAGCAGTGGGTGCATAATAAAGTTCAGAGCTATTATTGCAATGTAAAGGCTACACATGTAAGCAAAGACTGTAAATCATGGCTAAGGCGAATCTCTGAAATTAGGATTCATTATAACCTAACATCTGGGGAACCTACCAGATTTAATTGTTTGTTTCAGAAACAAAAAAGAAAAGACTGCTTGAAAAAATCTCACATCTCAGCAGCCTTTATTGCTAGGTACTTCCTTCTCACTTACTATTTCTAGCATTCTTTTTCTTTTAGAAAAAAAAATTAAATACTAAAGCACACATAAAAATCAAGTAAATAGATGAGAAAAAACATTTATATTGCTTGTGAGGTTAAAAAGTCTGCTAGTGAAGGCTGTGTTCTTCAAACTGGATCAAAGATGAAAACCAGTAGAGCCACAGAACATCAACTCACATACCTTTGGAGCAAGTGGCGCTGCTTCCTGAGTTGAGCAGAGGGTTTTCAGTCAGCCTGCATGCTTCTTGTTCTGCTTCTTTGTTGATCCTGTCCCCACATAACCTGTTCCAAAGGCACAATACAGGCAGAAAAGTAAGTCAGAAAAAAGGAAATTACTAGTTGTGCGTTGCAGAAGATGTCATAACCTTCTTCCAGAAGGATTGCTGGGAGAGCAGTCCTGTAGCTGTACTTGCAAACCCTAATGAGGAGAGAGGAGGTCCTTAGTGTAACAAAGAAAAAGAGCCAGTACTTGGCCATGAGGAATTTATAATCATTTTTAGTTAGACAGGCACAGACACATTTACATAGGGTGCAGAACTGATTTCACCACTTCCCCAGCTGGTTCCACAAACCTACATTTTATAGGAGTAGTGCCTGCTCCACATTGTCCAAGCACCACAGGTGTCAGCCTTTCACAGTGACCATTTCTAACCTTTTCATTTGCAGGAAGCTCAGTCTCCGGCTTTTACAGAGTGCGTGCCATTGACTACTGGGGGAAGGCAGGCCTGTCCTCTCTTCCTGTGGAGTATGTTGAAGCTTTCAAGTGACTCTGAAGAGTGGTGCCTGGCTTGGTGACTGAGTGGTGTATGCTCCCTGCAAATGACAACTCCCCAGAAAGATAAACTCCTCCCAAGCTGAGAAGGGAGTATCAAAAGGACCTGATGAATGCAAGTTAGAAGCAACTGCTCCTATTAACTCTTCAGAGCTCAAAAGACAGCATTATCAAACAGCCACAACTGACTACCCAACTGGTACAACTGTAGGAGGCTGTAGGACTGGGATTCAGCCTGGTAACTAGGAATTATGGGAATAAATATTTATTATTCCCTATTTTACACTGAGCTAATGGCCAGGACAAACCGAAGATTTATAGAGGTCACAAACTGCAGCAGGAACAGGACCATTGCTTCACTGTATGAGTGAGGATGGCAGCAAAGGCACAACGAGGACCTGACTGAGAGCGAACTGCCTGCCTCAGCTGCCAGGCTGTCTGGACATAAAAGTTTGATTGAAAAGCGCACAGCAACCAGACGCATCCGGAGCATGAAGTGAAGGATCCCTGCTTCCCCGCCAGTTAGTCACACATGCTCCAGTGGGTTATTTCAGAGCATTTGTGGCTGTTAATTTGATGCCGGAGCCATCCCCCTCACACAAGCAGAGGAAGGGGTAGCAGCTTTTCCTCAAAGGGGCACTGTGGCCATCAGCCACTGCCTCTTTGTGGTGGAGGCTCTAACCCTGAAAGCCCCTCTTCCTCTCCATTGCTGTCACCTAGCCTGGCCTTCTACAGCTCTTACAGCTAACATCTCTCCCCAGCGTGCCTCCCCTTTCAAACTGTAAGTGACATGAGGCTTGGCTTTGGGTGGCCAGGAGAAAGCTGAAATGCTAGTTAGAGCCTTTTGTGTTTTCATATTACAGGGGGAGCACACTCTTGAATGTAACAGGGCTGCTACTGACAACCAGTTAACAATTAAAAACAATTAACCAAGAACAGTTTGAGCTTCTGTGCTTTGCAAAGCACGTGCACAAGCGAGTGATAGCCCCAGCTCATGGGCTACAGAACACCTCTGGCTGTCCTTGCAGCTGCCAAACACTTTATGTAACAGCAAAGTTCCCTGAAATTGCAGGGGTGTTTTCTTACTCTCCCCTTTTCACAACTGGCTCAGTTTGAACTGTGCCTTTAAAATGCTTGTAGAGGGAAGGATAAGGCCAGTGAAAACAGCTGGAGTGTTTTCCATAAGAGGAGCAACTTTGTCGCACAAACAAATCCCCTACTGCTCTCTTTGCTGACATCAGCCACCTCACCAACATAACAACAAAGACTGCATATTTGATGAAACACTCAGGCCTCAGACAAAAAAAACAAGTTTGCACCGTAGGAGAGAGCTGATCTACGTCAAGTGGCCTCACTTTTACAGCACAGAAAAGAAACATACACAAAAAGTCAGTACATATGAGATGAGGCCTTGTATCTCCTTACCTTCTGGTTACTTGTTCATGTGTTTATGCTGAAAGTTAGCCTTAAAAGATTCATTTTGTCGCAGAATTCAGATGAAATATTTCTTGCCTCACTGAAGTTTGAATAAGGAGGGCTTGTCACATCCTAATCTGCCAATTCCTTGCCCATAAAGGCTTGTGCCGAACAGAAAAGGGCCACTGGAGCCTACTTAATTGATAACTTCCTCAGTTTCCTGAAATTTCCTTTCAGAAAAGTTAGTGAGAAGTTCTACTTGGATGGAGATAGTAAAAATACATTTCAAAGTTGTTATAACTGCCCCTAAGTAAAGACTCAGAATATGCAGTTAAATAAAATCTAGCGGTTAAGACATACTGTTTTCCCAGTATGAAGTGGAACCACAGAAAAAATGACTTTTAGAAATATTCAAGTATAAGTCCGTGAGAGATTTCAGTGCATCTGAAGCAGGGGAGGATACAGGAGCTTGAGAGAACAGTTTACCCTGTTAGGATGTCCTATTTGAGCAGCCTTCTGCTTTCAAATTTTCCCACACCGGCAATCAGAATATAGCATCTTTATCAAACCAAGGACCATGCACTAGTTACAGGTGTTTGAAAAAAAATGAAGCATAGCTGTCGTGAAGAGTATTGATTTTGCTATGCAGGGATGTAGTAGAAAATGTATAGGTGTGCAAATCATGAAAAATAGATCAAAAATCACTGCCTTGCTTTATTTAGCAGACAAATTTAAATTACACCTCACACAACTGAGGTCAGTAATGGCATATATGAGGCAAATGATGCAGAGCTGATGAGTCCTGGTGGAATGTTTGGCTTTTGCAAAAGTGCAGAACAGAGAATGGCGATTCACTTAGTTTTTCACTGTATTGAAGTCTGTCCCTGTGGCAAGTGATTTCCTTTAGGGCAAGTTACCATCTTTTAGAAGATTTTAGTTCTGCTGGCCCAGGATTTCTGCTTCTCAGCAGTGACAGACATGAGGCTTGCAGCTGCCTCTTTGAAGTGGTTTGTAATTCTCATGCTTACTTTTTTTGTCTTGTAAAAAGCAAAGTAAGAGTGCTGTTTTCTCTAAAGTTTCAAGGTAAAATTTCATATATTGTTGTATTGCTTATTGAAGCCACAAAAAAGCAGAAATGTTATTTGCAAGGGCAGAGCTTAACATGTTGTAGATGCAAATAAAATCCAGTTTCTTAGGGTCAAGTCCAGCCACTTTGAAAATCTGTCACTAGGTCCCTCTTTTAGGGTTTTTATATTAAACATCATCCAAAGTGTGGAAGGCACAGTGCATTTTCAGGTATTTTCCTGGCAGTGGCAAATATGCATGGAAAGCAGAGCTAACCAAAAATGGTGCACTGTCTTGTTCAGAAACAAGTTTTAATATTCAGCAAGATTGGTTTTTTCTTCTTCATCTTCTTTGCTACTTTGGTATAAACTTATTCCTTTAGGCAATGAGCAAGGCTAAACAATTGCAGCAGAAAAGAGAATTTGGTATTTCCATGCTTGAATTTATTTCCAACAAGGTACGGAAGTTTTGGACTGCCCTTGTCTTTTTTATAATTTAATGTCTGCAGAAAAATGCTATTTAATACTTGAAACTTGAGTTTTCTGTAACTATCTGTCACTTACTCTGTCTGATAGGGCTTCCCAAATTGCATGTTTAATTCTACTAATCTCCTCCGTTACCGGGCAGTGATCAGCCCCCGCCCCCAGATTTCAGGAGTGCCAGATGTGCATAGCGCTAAGTGTGAGTAGCAGATGCTTAGTAGTTCTGTAGCATCAGAACCAAAGCAAGACTCCAGAGCTCTCAGGTATTTCTCTTGCTGGCCATAAATCCAAATAGGAAAATCTAACCGCAACTGCAAGATGAGATTGTTTGCCTGCTCTTCAAGCAAAAGCTTCTGAGGCTATGTAACACTTTTGCAACTGTTTGTTAAAATGGATGCTAGGGAAAAACCTTTCAAAGGAGTGTTTTATATTGTCTAATTGTGTATATACTGCATTTGTTACCATCTTTTGTGCCACCCAATAAAACCAGGTTTTAATCTTTCACATGAACCCTGTAAAAACAGGATCTGATCATTGTGTTCTGGAAACTGCTCAAAACTCTTGTGTCAACAACTTAATCTGGGGAAGTAAAGCCTATTCTCAAGATATAAAAGATAGCTTGATTGGTGCAAGTTCCTACATTACATAAAAATGAAGCGTGAAGGGAGTGTGAGCATAAGAAATTTCAAGGCTGAAGTAGGAACTTAAATGCATAGATCGCCTCAGTTACCACAGCCCAGGGAAAACTGGTCTAACTCAACATGGTATCATAGCGTCAGATCTCAGGACTTGCAGTGTCCTTGCTGGGAGGAGGTTCACTGGCATGTGAAGGACAATATCCTTGCAGGGTTCCTCCTGCTGTTGCACAGTCGTAGCCTTTCTGCCAGCGCTAAAGGACCTCCTGAGGACAAAACAACAGTCCTTTTCACCTGTAAGCAGCTTTTTCTTTTCTCTTGTTAGTGGAAAGTTTGTGCAGGACAGAAATTATGACTTGGGACCTACACATGCACAAAAAAAAGGAGTAATAGACTGGTTCTCATCAGCTGGCTCAAGCAGCAGACAGAAGTGTGTCTGCCTCTAGACATACCCTAGATGTTTTATGTTGAACTCAAGGGAATAACAAGAGAAGTGTAAATCAGATCAGACTACACTCATAGCTGCCTGCGCTACCCTACCTCGTCTTTCACATTTCCTGCAGTCAGTGGAGAGAAATGGATATGAGCTAACTCCCATCTGTTTATTAACTCACCAGATCATATGATGAGGGCCTGCATGCGGTCCTGATGGGAACGTGTTCCCCCAGTTCCTCCAAGAACAAGGCAGATTCCTTGGGGCATGTATAAACTCCATGGTGTATTCTCCCAGAATCACCACTGTCGTCCTATGAACCTGGAGGCACAACCTTGTGTGGCTGAGGAGGGATTTCACTGTCTAACTCACCTGGACAGACTATAGCAAGCACAATAAGGATGCACTTGGTCCTGCATTATAGATCCTTCTTGCTAGAACTCCCATCTGCTCTGGTCATACAGTTATTATAACCGTAGACATTAAAAATCCCACTTCTCTAGATCTGGTAGTATTGGTCTGAATATCCTGGCCAAATGCCAGGCTCCTTCAGCTAAGGGTTAGCGTTGTCTAATCACTTGTCATACAAGTCCTAAGTTCACAGATTTCCACCCCAATACTTCTTCATGGGATAGGGGGGCAAGTGGTGAACATTCAATCAATGCACTGACCTTGCACTTAGTCCAGCACGAAAGGCTGATATTTTTTCAACACTCAATAGTCTCTATCTATGTGGTTTTTGATTGCCTGCTGCTGCTCTTCTGTTTCTGTCCTTAGCTTTAGATGTTTCACCATCTTGTTCCCTGCCAGGGAAGCTTTCCTTAGACTAGAACAGCAAAGAACACCTTAATTCAATGCTGGCTGAGAGCCTTAGGAGTCCCGCCTGGAAATCCTGGGAAACGCAAGCTTGAGAGACTTCCCTGCATCCTTGGGTTAATGTCTCTGGCCTTGGAGAAGAGTCTTTAGTCAGTGGTTTTTATGCTCCTTCCAGCAGGTGCAGTAGATAATCACTGGATACTGTAGGTAAGACTGTGCAAGCATCTTGCAGAAGCTGTTTTATAGTGTAATGCTGTGAAGACCTTCACTCAGTATCAACCTTGGCCACGTACCTTTTGAAAGCCTCAGGAGTAGGGGCTGTTCAGCTTGGTCTTCCCTCTATGCTTGGTAATCATGAGTTGTAAAAATATGTGTTTGTTCAGCAGAGTGCTGGGGGTGTTGTGGACTGGTAGTTTTATTCATAGGAAACATTCAAAGTGAATGTGATTTTACTAAGAGCAGAGGGAAATATACGTCAAAAATGCTGACTCAGGTTACCCTTTTTCTACATGGAGTTGTGATACTGTTCTTTCGGTTCCCGCTATCATCTACGAAATACTTGGCCATAAAACCTGTCAGTTCTGTATCTTTCAGTTCTATACCTCTCAGATGCTGGAGGCCGGATTATGAAGGCAGTGGGGAGTAAATTACTGCTTATGCCATTAGAAATGCAAGTTACTGCTCATTTAAAGCAATGTCCCAGTGTTATTGAGAGGAACATCTGCTTTATTGGATTTGTGATTCAGGGGCTAAT